TACCTGCTTCTCTAATTCACCAGCACGTGAATGAGCCTTTGCAGTTGTTTCCTCAACATGTAATTTCCCTTCTCTCTACTCAAAGCACGAATGAGAATTAGATGCAAAATTATAATTATGCAAAAAGAGAATAGAGTGAAGTAAAGGTTACATGAGGCAGTTAGTATCAGAAATCAATCTCTATAATTGCAATAATACAAATACCAGTACGGATTTTTCAGTCCAGATAAATACTGAAGCCAACCTGAAGAGATTCTATCTCGCTTTCCAGAAATGAAACTCTAGCTGACTTGTCCCTAAATATTTCATCCTTTTGAGATATTAGTTCATTCTTTTTCTCCAATTCCTGTGATTTTTCATCGATAAGGACCTCTGCAGAAATAGCAAAAAACGAGCCTCTCAATACACGAAAGAGACGGGGAACGAAGTCAACCAACTTAAAAGCAGGTAGAAAACGCATGGAAAGCACATTAAAATTAGTGACAAATCTTCTTCAGAAATAGAATCGTTCCTCACCTTCGCTAATTATGAGAAAGATCATGAGTTTATAAATAAGGAACACTATCTCCATTGGTATGAGGCCTTGTGAGAAAACCAATAGGAAGGCCGTGAGAGCTTATGCTCAAAGTGGACAATATCATACTATTGTAAAGGTCATGGTTTCTAACCTGTTATTAGAGTCATGCCCTTAGCTTAACCATACCAATAGAATTCTCAAGTGTTGCATAAAGAAGTTGTGAGCCTAAAAAATGTAGTCAAAGGTGACTCAAGTGTTGAATGGGTACTTTGTTCAAGGGCTCCAGAGAAGGAGTAATGTTTCGATCAAAGAGAGTAGTAGGAGTAATGTTTCGATCAAAGGAAGTAGTCTCACATTGGCTAATTAGGAAGAAGATCATGAATTTATAAGCAAGGAATACTATCTCCATTGGTTTGAGGCATTTCGGGAAAACTAAAAGGAAAGTCATATGATCTTATGCTCAAAGTGTACAATATTAAACTATGGTGGAATTCGTGGTTTCTAACCAGAACAGGGTGGACTTCGTTCAATCACAAGAAACGCTTTCGTAATTCTGAAAATCCCCCCGGCTTGGAAATACCAAATCAACTTGAAAGTTGAAACAACATCAATTCGGCGGAAAAGAGAATCAAAACAGCCAATAAATAAATAAACACTTCCCAAACCGTTCCAAATTAAGTTTGCTTCATCAAAATACGAAAGTTCGCACTAATACTTCATCCGCCACATTTCCCCACGCTTTCTCAACAATCAAACAAACTCAAATGCGCAATAGACTACGATAAACTCACCAAGCTCTCGGATCTTAGAATTGAGTTTCTCCAATTCTTTTTTAAGCACAGAGGATTGAGAACCATCCTCTCTAACAACTTCAATTGCATCCTCTCCACCATCGACGATCACGTCCGCAGCGACAGAGAAAACAATTAAAGCTAGAAAAATCGTTACGCTCGCAAGCTTCAGAGCCGCCATGGATTCCAATTACCAATCCGAATTCCGAAGTCAGAAGAGGCAGAGAAAGAGTTGCCGCCAGTCCAGCGATTTTGTGTTTGACGTGAAAAACGTGCAACGTTGCACCGCTTCGCGGTTCGAAGATGATGATGAAGAAATATATTTATTTTTCGCTTTTTTAGTACAATTTTCTAAATTGAGGAAACTATAGGGGCAAAAACATAAACGGCCCGGAGGTTGCCAACGGGGCTGACACGTGTACTGGGTCTTCAAAATCTTCGTACGTGGCACTCGCTTTACTCGATAAGACAATTTCCTTGGCTTCATCATAATTTTTTTTCCCTTTTTAGGCAATTATGTTTTTTTTTAGAATATTACCATTTAATCCTCATAATTAGTATTAGTAAAAGAATGTGATTAAATTAGTTGTATAACAGGTCTAATATAATCAACCCATCTTTATATTGAGTGTCATTATTTTTTGTCATTCAAACAAAAATTCCTACTATGGGTAATTTTGTCCTCGAGTATACGCTAAGAATGGAGTGAACGGGAAAAAAACATGGAAAGCCCGAGGAATTAAACCAAACCCACTTCCCCTCCCCGGCACATGTGCAATAGCCCAATCCCACTTTTAGTAGATATTGTCTACTTTGACCCGTTACGTATTGTCGTCAGCCTCATGGTTTTCAAACATGTTTGCTACGGAGAAGTTTTCACACTCTTGTAAGGAATATTTTATTCCCTTCTCAAACCAATGTGGGATCTCACCATCCATCTCCTTTGAGTACCATTGTTCTCACAGACACACCCAAACTTACCACTGACAAATATTGCTCGCTTTGACTTGTTATTTATCACTGTCACCATTCGACCTAAAACCCTTATACTCGCTCTCGATCACCTCTAGCTCAGAGATGATGCCATTGAGAACACACAAATCATCTAAAGTTAAATCCAATTCCTCTCAATCTTCCTCACTCATACTACACTTTTTATAACCTCTTTTAGAGCCTTTACTTAACTCCGTTTTGGCCAATTACTATCACCGTAAGTCTCGCGATTTTTAAAACGCGTCTGCACATGTACTAAGAAACGATTTATACACTCTCTAACGAACGTGGGATATCACAAGTATCATTTAAACTTTTATAATTTAGCTTAAAATTTTTAGTTATTATTATTAATATTATTTTTTCATCACGTGATGGGCTTAAGCAGAAAAATGCATGGAGAGTACTTGAGATTAAAATTAAAATTAGAATAAATAATGCAATAATTAATACAGCTTGGGAACGCGGTTTCTGCAAAGTGTGTAACATACACATGCAATAATTTTAAATACCAATAATACATCATAAATAAATGCCCAGATACGTTGCAGATTTTTATTTATTTATTTATTTTTCGTCCAATTAATTTCTTAATTTAAATTCATAATAATCATGTTTTAATATATTTGGAGAGACATCCATGTCGGTAAACTAGAATTTGATAACAGTTATTTATATTTAATAAAGCCTCAATTTCAACCTCTATAAATTTAATACACGAAATTTAATTTAATGCATCATTTATTTATTAATTTAATAAATATATTAAATTATAGTCTAGTCTATATAATTCGAATAAAATTAAAATTTAGTACTCATTTTTAAATTTTATAATTTATAAAAATCTTAAAATCAATCCATAAAAACTATTTATTTTAATTTTTGAAGTTATAAAGAATAAATTTTAATTTTCTTCGAAAAGCATAGACTAATACTCTTAATGTAATGGACAAACGTGTTTGCTAGAGATATGTTTCGTTCTCCTCCCCAATTGATGTGGGATCTCACAATACACCCCCTTCGGGGCTGAGCATCCTCGCTGACACTAGTTTCTTTCTCCAATCGATGTGGGATCCCCAATACACCCCCTTCTTTGGGACCGAGCGTCCTTGTTGGCACTCGTTCTTTTCTCCGATCGATGTGGGACTCCCACCAAATCTATCCCCTTCGGAGCCAACGTCCTTACTGGCACATTGCTTCATGTTCACCCCTCTACAGGGCTCAGTCTCCTCGTTGTTGGCACATCGCTTCATATTCACCCCTCTACTAGGCTCAAGCTCCTCGCTCTAATATCATTTGTAACGACCCAAGCCCACCGATGGCCAATATTATCCTCTTTAGGCTTTCCTTTCAGGCTTTCTTCAAGGTTTTTAAAATGCGTGTGCTAAGAAGAAGTTTCTCTTATAAGGTGGGCTCCGTTCTCCTCGCAACCCATGTGGGATCTAAATTGATTTTGAATTAAATTTCTTTTTAGCAAATGAATCGATGGTTTTAAAATTAAACCATAATATAGAAGGTCTAAATTGATTAAAACTAAAAAAAAAAAAAAAAAAAAATTAGGGTTTAAATTGATAAAGAAGGTTTAACTGACCAACGCAGAGTTAGCAGAATTTGGTGTAAATTTACGAATCCTTGCGCTGTATTTGCAGTGAATTTTCAAATCCTTGCTTCCTGTTCGCGATGGTACTGCCGATAAACAAGCGCATCCTGTCCCCCCGATTCCTTCACCGAGCGCCAAATTACAGTTCTTAAAGCTTCAATCCAACGCATCTGATCCACATATCCCCAATTCTAAATTATTTCTCTGCCAGCTCTCAATCGCCTCCATCGCTCATAAATTCCCCACTCCCATTCACAATCTACAAACAATTTCCACCAAATGGGTATCTCCAGATTCATTGGGGACTTTTTACAAACAGTTGGTGGGCGATCCCGTGCGGCGGATTCCGCCGCTGACGGCGGTGCTCCGAGTCCCTGCAGAGTCATCCACGACGACGTGCTGTTAAGGGCGTTGATTACAGTGTTTGGAATGAGGGAAAATGGGAGAATCAAGAAAGAAAAAGCAAAGGGGGTGGTGGAGAAATTGGGGCTGATAAAGAGTGAAGAAGAGAAGGAAGGGTTTGAGCTGCCGGCGGATGGCGGTGGTGATGAGGTGGCGGTGGAGGAGGTGATCGGAGAGATGGAGGAGGAAGGGAAACGAAATGAGCTGCTATGGGAAGCTTTTAAGATATTTGATGTGGATGGCGATGGATTCATTGATACGGTTGAGCTGAAAAGAGTGCTTGAATGTTTGGGATTGGATAAAGGGTGGGGGATTAGGGAGATTGAGAAAATGGTTAGTGTTGTGGATGTGAATTTGGATGGGAAAGTTGATTTTGGTGAGTTTGAATTAATGATGGGTGTGAAATGTTCTTGATTTGTTCTTGTTTTTTTCACTTTTCAATCCAAAATTCTGGAAAAATCTTGTGATTTTGGTGTTATCTTTGTTCAGAAACCAAAACTTGAAATAATACCCCCCCAATTTCTGCATCCTTCTCTGTTCTTGTTATATGAATTTAGTGTTGTGTTCTTCGTGTTCTAAGTTTTAGTGTCAACACGAGCGTAGCTCAACGGTTTGATATCAATAGCTATTCTATGTTGAGTGTCAACACGAGCGTAGCTCAACGGTTTGATATCAATAGTTATTCTATGCTCGACAGTTGATATCAATATAGCTATTCTATGCTCGACCGTTTATATCAATAGCTATTCATACGGACCCAAACACAAGCAAATGAGCAGTCTAAAATCAACGACACAGCACAACAGAGAGTCTGAATTCTATCATACAAGCCAAACACATGACATGATAAAAGGGCTAATTTCTAGGCCAAATCTCAGACACACAGCTAACAGCCTCACTAGCCATTCCAGTTTCTGCGAGCCGGGTGGCTGGATTCTGGCTTGACATTGTCACGCCGGAATAAGAAACATCGTCTCCGGGAAGACCGAGCGGCAATGGGATATTCGACATCCGCCGCAGCACGGTTAGCGGCTGCGGCGTGCTCAAATGATTCTGTAGGAGCTGGTTCAAGCTACTGGTCATTGAGCCTCTAGCGAGTGTATCTTCAGCTAACTTTACCTTCAATCGAAAAAGGAAAAGGTTTATGTGATATAATCGATTTTGTTTTCTCGAGCTCTCTTCAAACTCGTTTGTGTAAGGAGAGTAAGAGAATTTAGTACCTTGGCTCTCATTGCATCTACATCTGATTTAAGCACTCGGTTGTTTGTATTGGCATCACGGTATTGCTGACTTGCATCTAAAAGCTGGTTGAACAACGTTTCGTTTTCTACTTTAAGCTGTTTCACCTGAGGAAATCAAAATAATGAATGCTAACAGTACTTTCGAGTTCTTAGGTTGGTACCACTCCCAGTGGTGTTAAAAAAAACCTAATGATCCAAAAAACTCAATCAATCCAACCCATAGGATATGGGTTGGGATTGGGTTGCATGGATTCCAAAGATTGTCCGCTTTGACTTATTGCGTATCACCGTCAGCCTCACGATTTTAAAAGTGCCTATTGGTGAGAGGTCTCCACACCCTTATAAAGGAATGTTTCGTTCCTCTCTTCAACCGATATAAGATCTCGCAATCCACCCCTTTGGGGTCCAAAGTTCTCGCTCACATATCGCTCGATGACTGGATCTGATACCATTCGTAACAGTCGAAGCCCACCGCTAAAAAATATTGTCCACTTTGACCCATTACGTATCACCGTCAGCCTCAAATTTTTAAATCGCATCTGTCAAAAAAAGGTTTCCACGCCCTTACAACGTATGTTTTGTTCCTCTCTCCAACCTACATGGGATCTCACAATTCCCCTAAAACTAGATTGGATCGAACCCAAACCCAACTCAAATTTCTTATTAAATATACACCCACCAATAGAGATATTGTCGACATACCTGACTCTCGAGTTCAGCCAAATGAGCTTGTTTTCGTCGTCTCGATCGTCTAGCCGAGTCCCTATTAGAGATCATTCTGCAAGAGGCAGGCCAAGATTAGAAGATGAAAGGAAAAGAAGAATGAAAGTGAAGTGAGTTGAATGAAGAAGCACCTTCTGATCTTCTTCAAAGTAAGAGGGTCATTGCTCTGCTCACAAGACCCAGCCTCAATCTCATCGTCGGATTGATCCTCGGAGGACCCACTGTTGGCGCCTCTTTGGTGCTCTCTGCCCATCAAATTGCTGGCTGATGTTGGGCTGCTCACTGTCCACACCAACCATTTTGGAATCATTCTTTTTTCTTACCTTTTTTTTTATTTATTATTTCAATTATTAATAATATTTTTTATATTAATCCAAATCTAATTAATTAACAATTATAATTGATTAACCAAAATATATTTTTAGTTTTTATAATTTTGACATCATTTCATTTTAATTTATATATTTATCTATTTCAACTATATCTTAAATTTTTTTTTTTCTTCGTCACCCAAGATTATTTGATTGAAAACTATGTTAATATTATTATATTTTTTTAGAAAATAATATTTTTATTTGAATAATATCTTATCAATCGAGAATTATCATTTAAAAAAAATAATTATCATGGTAGAAAATAAAATAAAATAAATCTGCTAAACTTATCGTGGGGAAGTTTCATTCTAATTCTCATAAAAATAAATTGAAAAATTTTACGAGAACGACCCTAAACCCTAAGCTGTATGGATCCCGGGATCGAGAAGATCTCTAACCTATCTATACAAAATTACTTCACTTTTAGTTATTATATTTTTTAAAATTAATTTTAAAGCTAAGAGAAATTAGATAATGGAGTTACCAATAGAAGACTGGGAATCTATAGTGGCTGAAATGGTCGAAAGCTTAGGTGTGAGATTCTGTGCCCATAAAGGACCCTCCGCCACCCCACCTCCACAGTTAGCAATCGCGTCCATTATCTCCTGCAGCTTTCAATTATTTATTTATTTATTTATTTATTTTAATTATAAAAAAACAACAACAAAAAGCTGCATGAACTTAAATAAAATTTTTAAAAATTATTTTATATTTTAAAATATATTCTATTTTCATGCATTTAACATAACCCTTACGTGAATATTTAAAGTTGATAAACCAAATAAAATATTATAATTATTTTTTTATTTTTTAATTTCAAGCGATTTACAGAAAGATCGGCGATTACGAACCCGATTATTTCTCAAGAAGAAATTGAAATCGATATCGCCGAAGAAGCTGCAAGCATCGGCGGAGTCCTGGAAGTTCTTGCTTCTTTTAGGGCTCCGGGAGATGACTTCGTGTTCGATTTTGAAAACGTTGTCGTTTTGTAACTCGTCGTCGGCCTCGGCGTCGATGACTTCTGGAGAGGCGATGGCTGTCGTTTCGAGGAGCTCTTCAAGAGCCAACTCGGAGGCGCTGCGCTTCATGTTTTTGTCGTCGGGAGAGGAGAATGATCCGGATTTGGCGGCGGACGGCGGCGGAAAGAGAGGATTTGTGCTTCATACGGCGGAGAGAGAGGAGGAGAGAGAAAAGGGGAGAGAGAGAGGGCGTGTTGGGGAGATATATAGGGAAGGGAAGGGAAGGGAAGGGAAGGGAAGGGAAGGGAAGGTTTTTTCATAAAGGTGTCGTGGCACTGTGAACCTAAGTGGACGGCACATGAGGTTAAAATGTCTGACGTGGCTGTATGACCAAACTGCCCTTGGTGATGGTGTCTTATTATGGATGGCCCGTTGGCCACCCGACTCAATACTAAAAGTGTTCTTTCGTTAGGTTCGGTTGGATTTGGACATTTTTTAAACCCAACTTAATTGTTCGGTCGAGTTGATTAACTATTTTCGGGTCATTGAATTTTTTTTAATACTCTTAATTAATATAAGAAATAAATATATTTTTTGATTATTAAATTGTACGGAATAAATCAAAAATATATAAATGAATAAAAATCATATTTGAATGAGCGTAGAATAAGATAATTAAAAAGTAATACGATTTGTTATAATATATATATATATTTTAAAGAAAATTAAGTTAAAAAAGACAAACTGTTGGATGACGTGTATCTTATGAGGCGAGAGAGTATAGGTGGCAGACGGGAACTTAGCAGCGAAGCAATTGGGCTGGACAAGGTGAGCGGAGAGCCGTTGGATTGGAATGGTGGTGGAGAATCTGGGAGGGGATCAGAAAGCTGACACGTGGAGAAAAGAATATGCCATGTTGTTCAGTGGGGCCCACCACATAATATAGTGATTTGACTTTCATCTACGATTCGATAATCTCCCCCAGTTGCCAAGTTGCACAGACTGACTGTCCTTTTAAAAGTAATTTACCTAATTTTAACCCACCTGCCCGGACTGACCGTCCGTACCTTCCTTTAGTCCAGAAATTTCAAAATGCTTATTATTGCTCTAATTTTTCTCCAATTATATAACATTTTTATAAAATTTATGTTTACATTTAATTTCTTTAAAAAAAATTAAAAATACAACAATTTTTTTAAAAAAAAAAATACAAAAAGCAATATTGAAATTGAAATGATTCAAAATCAATTTAAAATTAATATCTTATCGAATATTGAACTATATTTAGTAATTTTTTTAAAACAAATTTCTTATATAAAATTGATAATAAATAAGAATATTCTCTGGGTCGGAAAAATATAATATTGAAATTTGTTTTGTGAATTAAAGTTGGTAATGTTATATATATAGATAGATATATGTATGTATGTATGTATATATATATATGTATGTATGTATGTATGTATGTATGTATGTATGTATGTATGTATGTATGTATGTATATGTATGTATGTATGTTAGAAAAGGGGCATCCAAACCCTAGCGAAAAAAGCCTTATCATCTTTGTAAAAGAAGGAAAGCAAGTAGTTGTCCCATGAAAAAGAAGAATTATTTCTTCTTTTTTCTTTTTATTTTCTGGTTTTAAGATTTAAAAATATTTTTCAAATTTCGAGTAGTTTTTTACTTGATTAGACAAATTGTAGAGTATTTTTTACTGGGCGATGTGTTTCTAAATCCTTAAACTTCACCAAAAAAGTATTATGGACTCGACTTCATGCACTAATAAAATAATAAAGAATCTAAAAATTTAAAAAAATCGTAACGAGATTGTGAAATTCGGGCATGCATTATTTTTAAATAATAATAATAATAATAATAATAATAATCCCCTAAATTCCCATATGACAAAATAATAAATCAACCTATCAAGCATGAAAATAATAATAATAATAAAAAAGAAATTGCAACTTTACACTAAAACCCTAAAAATGCAAGAATTAGGGCAAGGTTCCTTATGAAGGAATAAAAGTTGAAAGGGACCGACACCAACTTTCCCGAAATAAAAATAAAAGAGAGAAACATTAGACACGAGTTGGATTTATAAATTTTATTTTGGTCCCTATTTTTTCAATTTTGATTTATGAATGTACTTATAAATTTTATTTATTTTAATATTTATAATTTCAGATTCCATTTAAAGTTTCTAAATGAATTTAGCTTATTTTAATTTTTTATATTTTTAATATATATATATTGTTGAATTTAGTTTAGAAATTTTTTAAAATTTTGATATTTATCCTTATTTAAAAAATAAAAATAAAAAAAACCATTTTGGTGGCTTTATTTTGCATTTTGATCCCTTCCCACTAACTTTTGGGTTTTTAATTTTCACAAATAACCTTTTTCCCTTTTTCTTTTTTATAAAACTTTCATTTTTTTTAATAATAATAATTATTATTTTAATTTTGTTACTTTATGTAGCTTTTCTCTTTTCTTTCTAGTCATACCTAACTTTACACTGGCAATTACCAAGTTACCCCTCCTCCTTTTCTTCCTTGGGAAGGAAATTTGGCAGCTTAATGGGTTTATTTAATCTCTGTGTCATTAATAATAGCAATTGTTATATATTTTCATAGTGATATTCGAAATTTTAAATTTTAAAAAGAAGACTATTTTTCAAAAAATAAAAAAAAATTTAAGGGTGAAAGTAATATTTATTAGTTTAATTTTTAAAAACTAAAATAAAAATAATTATCGAAGAGGATCTAAATTATTAGATTATTAAATTTATATAATTTAATAACAGAATTTCATTCCTTTATTTATACAGAAAAAAGAAAGTAAATATTTTTCTAAAAATTACTAGAAATTAAAATAATATGCATAAATAAACTGAACGAGCAACTTGCTTAAATCATTAGGATTTATTATTATGGAAAAATAAATGATAAAAATAAAGCTATATATATTTTTGTTTTAATTTTAGTATCCTTTTTTTTTTGTCTTGGATCCAAATCGGCCCTAAGAATGGCCCATTTATATAATGGGCCACACTTCAGGCCCAGTAGCTCAACCGTCCTTGTCATAAATAAATAAATTATTTTATTTATGACTACATTTTAAAGCAATTGATTATATTTTATTATTATTATTTCTGTCCCATTGCAATTAAATATGAATTTTTAATTATATTTATGACTACATTTTAAAGCAATTGATTATTATTTTAGTCCCATTGCAATGATTATTCTTTTCATAATTTTAAATTATTTGGAACTAACTTTACCCTAATCAACCAATTATGGACATAAATTATTACCGTCATAATTTTTAAAATATTAATAATTAATTATTTTTAAATATTCACACACAGATATATTGGTTATATAGAGATGGAAGATGAAATTCATTAATCAGGGTAAAGTTAATTACTTATAATTTTACATTATGAAAATAATAATTAATAGTTTTTAACCATATACCTATATAGATAGGTATTAATTCAAACAAAGATATATATCAATTCAACCACTTTACTGCTAACAGAACCTGACACCAGTGGTGTGCCAACGAGATAGTGGATTGTGAAATCTCACCTTGGTAGGAGAGGGGAACAAAACATTTCTTGTAAATGGACATGAAAACCTCTCCAAGTAGACATGAGGTCGACCATAACGGGTGAGTGGACAATATCTACTAACGGTAGACTTGAGATGTTTTATATTGTTTCTTATAAGAAAAACCAAACAAAATTAATATTTATAACTTAAGCATTCTTAAATTATTAATTCTAAAAGTATTTACAGGAAAATTAATTTTGTTAAAAAAAATATTATTCTTTACAAGTTATTCCAAATATTACACCATAATTTGCAAATCACACCTTGAGTTCCACCAAAATTACACAAATTCTAACCCACAAAAGTGAAGAATTTCCCAATGCCACCTTATCCCATCAACTTAATATTCAATAGAAGGGGAAAAGGGGGCTTTAAAAGAACAAAGCAAGAAAGTGTCGGCCCAAATTTTGATGAAATGGCTACACATCAAAGGTTTGGTTAGGAATATTAGCGTTGGCTTCTACTTTTGTCTTCTTGTTGTGAGCATCAGAATCAACCAAATCCAAATTATAGAGCAAAGACACCATAGTAAGAGAGCATACAAACACAAGCACAGGTCCAAATATCCAAAGCAGAAGAGGGAGGGCCAAGTAAAAGATACGATTCCCAATGGTGTTGAGGACGAACCCCTTCTCAAACAGCTCCGACACGTACTCGGGCTTGACCGGGGACGACGGGTCTTGTGGGGTGTTGATCAAAACATTCACTTGGTTGATAAATCTGATGGAGAGGGAGTGACACAAGAAGGAGAAGAGGAAGATGGAGAGGAGGGAGACGTACTTTAGAGACATCATGAACTCGCCATGGGCGCCAAAGACCGAGTCGTTGATAGGCTTTTTGATGCTGTACGTGCTGCTTAGAACTGCGGCGAGGCCGGAGGAGAGGAGGATGGAGGTGGTAGCCATTAGAGTTGACCCCATAATGGCATTCCTTAGAGTTTGCACAGCAAGAATGTTCTTCTTCTCGTTGTCCTAAACATGAAACAAAATCATCATTTTAATGAATGTTTGAAAAATATATTTCATAAAGTTTTTGTTTCTTCTTCTTATTTACATTGGATTTATGTGTATTATTTTACTAATAATACCTTTATTTTTTTTTTCTTCTTTTCTCCAAAACAAAACTAAATCGCTAGAAATAACTATTCTTTTTATTATTATTATTACAAAAAGCTAGCATTATCGACTTCTCTTTTTGTGTTTTTCATCTTTTAGCAAAGCATTATTGAATATTAAATAAGAAATTTTGATTTAAAAAATAGAAATCAAAATCATTATCAAATAATTTTTTTAATTTTTAATTAAATAAAAAACAGTGGGTTGTACATGCAACCCCTAGATGAAAACCAAGGATACTTGTATGAATAAAATAGTGTGATTTTGTGGGTACCAAACTTAAAAATAGTTGGATCCCAATATACCAACAAAATCAACCAATAAAAGTATATAAAAATTTAGACATATAATATATACATATACATATACATCTATATATATAGATACATATACATCTACATGCATCTATACATATATATACATATACATGCATCTATACATATATATGCATATACATATATACATATACATGCATATCTCTATATATATATATATACACAGCATAACTAAAATAATGGATGAGTCTAACATTTTGTAAGTGAAAACTTTACTTTATTCACATTTATTATTCTCAAAAACCCGTTTGTTGAATTATGTTCAAATGGATACTAAGAGTTAATTAAAATGATAAAAATGAAACAAAATACAAATTATTCTTAGATACTTCATAAACCAAAGAAACTAAATCTTCTATTTGAGTTTCAATGAGAATACATGCATCTTAGGTTGGAGGACAAGAGAACCCATCTTTTAGATTAAAAAAATTATATAAAAAATGTAATAGTCCAAGTGCTAGCTGATATTGTCCTCTTTAGATTTACTCTTTCGGATTTTTCCACGAGACTTTTAAAACGTGTCTACCAAGAAAGGTTTCCACACCTTTATAAAGAATGTTTCATTTTCCTCCCAACCGATGTAGGATCTCACAATCCACCCCCTTTGGGGCTAGTGTACTCACTAGCATTTGTTATCTCACAATCCACCCGCTTCGAGACCCAACGTCCTAGCTAGTATTCGTTCTTCTTTCCAATTGATGTTGGATCTCAAAGATAAGTTAAAAATTTTAAGATGTTTCTCTAATTTACCTTCAAAGTTTTGGAAAATTTTGGAAATTAGATATATATCTTAAGTTATAAGGTGTTAGGACATAACTCAACGGATTAAAACATATATTTCATTTCTCAATCAAAGATTCAAATTTCCTATTCTCACCTGTTATATCGAACTTAAAGACTAAAGTAGGAACCGTAAGCTAGGTATATCTTTAGAGAGAGAGAGAGAAGGAGAGAGAAAGTACCTTCATCATGGCAGAAACCCAGTAGCGTCGACCAGAGCTGTTAATTCCAACGATGGTAGTGAAGGGTTGAGTTCGAACCTTATACAAAAGCCATGCATGGTAACCCAGAAACAAGAGAAAGCTTGAAGGAACCAAAATCACATCCAAATAACTCTGCTTCCATGCCATTTTTTCCCCCTATTCTCTTCCTAAACTTTATGAAATTATTGCTCTCTTGGGGCTTCGGCAAATTTCTTGAGTGTTGGTTTACTTCTTTTCTGTCTCCTAATTCTCTTCGCTCATCAACACAACGTATAAATAGGGAAATGAAAGAGGAAGAATTAATGGGTGGGAGTGGACTTTAATTAAGCCTTATTGGTATCTTATTAATTCCTACCAATATGCCCCAACTAAACTACCCAACAAAAACACCCCATAAAGAATAATCAAATTTAAAAGATAATGCTTTTATCCCTAATGCAAATTGCGTTCAAACGTAACTACGAGCAAGGACAAAATCATAAATAATTAAATTAATAAAAGAAAAAAGGAGAGGGCAATTGCTCTGTTGGTTTATGATTAAGAAACTTCTAAGAAAAAGTGGAAAGATTTTTTTTTCTCCTCCAATTCGTCCCCTAAATTTTCCGAATGGACAGATTATGCCAATATACAAAGCTAGGGGGTCAAATATATCCTCTTAATATAAAGCTTTGACCCATCCCTAAACACACGACATGATCCAGAGCTAATATAACTTCTTTTTTTTTTTTTAGTTCAACAATTACGGAAGGGAAGTTAGTCACATTATCCTAACCAAATTTTGACAACAACATGAACCATAATCTAGATTAATGATTAATCTTGATCGTCATAAACTAATGTTGAAAAATTTGTTCAATCAGAGAAATGGTCTTTCTTTAAACATTAAAGAAGGAACATAGACATACCTGAGTCTCGAGAATGAGCTTGTTTTCGTCTCCTAATCGAATTTCAGCAATAACATACCCCATCACTTGTGAAGTAAGAGGATTTGAGTATTTCATTTCAAAATAAAAATAAAAATACACGTTAAGTATAATTCATAAGAATCTTGTCCTATCATGTTAGTCTCTATATGGATATATTAAATTATAATAATAAAAAAATCAAGCTCTAAAGTGGCAACATGTCAGCTTTAGTTCACTACTAAATTGAATAATTTAGTTCGGAATAATTTAGGTCGGAGACTAAAAAGAATTGAAATTTCTATTGAGAGAATGCTTTTAGTAAAAAAAATTCAGATTATTTTGACATTTTTTAATTTAAATATTCAATATGCATCTTATGATTAAAAAGTGCTAAGAATATTATGAGTATACTAATGTTTCTAAGAAATAAGAAACATGAAATAAGGAGCATCATCAAATTGCCTTTAAATAAACAAAAATTTATTTTTATCCTAGAACAATACTTGGCTATTTAACTTCCTATATGCTGCTATTAAATTTTTTAGCATGTAAAAAAATATCTCATAAAGCCAAAATTACCTAACAGGGACAGAGTTGTTACTTGGAAAAATATGGAGGGCATAAATATAGAGCGAAGAATCAGAACACATAATAAATAAATCCTTCATAACATTTAAAAAATAAAAAATATAAAAAAAGAATGAAAAAAACCATACTCACGCATTCCTTTAGCATTCTTGCATATTCATTCACTGTTCATCTCTGTCGTTGAAAATTTACAAAAACATGTAATGACCAATTGAAAAAAATAAGAGAAATTTACCTCATTTTGCTTTGTTTGTAGATCTTCATAGGAAGGAAAGAAAGAATTATAGAAGTTCTGAAATTGTAAATAGGATCGTCTTATACAAATCCTCCCATGTAATTTTTCACCTTTTTCATGGAAGCAATGTAATCCATTTTCAAAGAGAATTTGTGAGTTCCTCCATAGAAGCATTGATGTCTTATATACTTTCTATATATTGAAGTACAAACTATTACATAAGTAAAAAAAAAAATTACTTTGTTAAAATAAATGCTTTTCTGTAGTACAAACTATTAACAACGTGCTTTTTGACAAAGTATTTAGCAATAAAGTAATCTATTAGTAACACGTTTTAATAAAATGTTAACAATTAAAACAATTTCTAGAACACCTCATTCAATTTAGATTGCTTTAGAATCCTATGCTTGGTCTAAAAAAAAATTACTAATAAAACGCATAATTAAAATGAAGACTAACAAAACCCTGCCTAATGGCTTCATGAACCATAGTATTTTAAGAAATCCCTAATTTTGGAAGGGTTTCAAAGCCAATGCATCTTAAAATCCCAAATTTAAATAGAAAAAACCAAACAAAATTAGATAAAGGCATAGGGTTCAATGACTCACCTTCTCAAAAGTGTTTGGTAAACATAAATGAGAAGGATGCTTCCTAGGTTAGTCACATTCTTTTAATTTTATTTGTGTTTTTGTTCATTTGTTTTGGTATGAAATATATTAATTTTATAAGGATATGTAAACAAAATATTAATATAGTTTTATATGATAACATTCATGCATTTCAATTAAGTTCACAAATTAAATGCTATTAATTTTACTTTGATTAATTTATCACATTTATTATTGCTCGTTCCCACCACCTTCAATTCCTGAGACCTTCATAGCCACAATGTTATTAATAATATTATTACTATTGTTATTATTATTTATTATTGTGGATAAACGACAATTTGCTAGTTAACTAATAGTATTAAGAGCTTTTGGGGAATTTGGTATTGGTTCACCAAGTAAAAGCTAAAGCTACAGGGCTAATGCTGGTATTAGGTACAACAATACTGTATTTTAATATCATTAAAAAAAAAACGACTAAAAGAGAAATTGTGTTGATGAACCCACGTTTATTTCTTTTGAATTTATTTTTAAAATTTGGACGGAAAAAAATATTTTAACTAAGGTGTTAAGGATTTTTTGAAGTATTTATACAAAACATTAAAAACCTAGTGGTATATTTGTACATTTTCTCCAGGGGAATGAAAGGCAACATAGAAAACAAGAAACGAGAAAACTTGTAAATATGATCATGGTGAAGACTTTTCTAGAGAAGGCTAAAAAGGAAGGAAGAATTTTTCCCAAGGCTAACCATTGGATGGTAGAATTTATAATGGGCAGTTGGGTTTGTATTAAGATGTTTCAAAGTGGGATGTGGTGGCAGACAATTGTTTGGATTCGTGTGGTTTGTGTTTTCCACATAAGCCCATGTAGGCTGTTTAGTGCTCTAAAGAAAACAAATACCATCTAATTTTCGTCCGGTAAAGTTTCAAATCTTTCTTTTAATAAAACACTGTAGATGCGCTTTAAAAATCTTAAGAATAGTTCAAAAAAGAAAACTTAAAAAGTCAAAAAAGACAATATCTCTAACATGCACGCTTGTGCCATTTCCATCACAATTAGAAAAAACAGCTAAATTAGAAAAAACAGACTTTTTAAAAAAGCCGGCATTTCCATCTCACCAAATTGCTTTGGAGGAGTGGCCATTTAAAAGAATGTGCCATACCATAATCCTCAACCACCCATTGCCTCAAAAAATGAGAGGAAACCAAGCTATTGAATTCATTTCATTTCTTTCTTTTTCAAACAAAATCATAGGTGCAAAGTAGATTAGGTTGATTTCATTACATACAACTTTTTGTCATCAGGTTTGCGCATTCATGGAAACTTGAATATTTGTCCATTGTACATTTTCAGCTGTCTATTCATCTAAAGATGCATTATTTTCCCCCCATTTTCTTATTGGAGCTATTAAGGCGTAGTGGATAAACAATAGCCTCAAATATTGGCCAGATGACAGGAAAACATGCAGCAAGTTTATATTTTCAACTCACCTTTCCACCAACCATCATACCCACAAAGCTTGTTTTCATTTTTGGAGCAATTTTGGTTACTACTATCGAGTATAGGGTCATTTTGGGCCAACTGTTTCAAGTGAGTTAGGAATTTTTATTCTAATAAACCTATGAAGTCTCCCATCAAAAAGCCTATACAGTCAGAGAAGTGTGGCTAACCTGCAAGTTGAACTTCTTGGAAATTTTCTTTAAACCTTTGCCACATCATATTTCCACTCAGGCTTGGAGATGTAAGCCGCTAAGCAAAGTCCCTGAAAAAGTATAATGGAGGGATAGATAAATAATGCATATAATTTGACTTTGAGAAAACAATTGTAAAAGGTTGTTAAGCACGCTTCTTAAATTAATCAAGGATTGAGTAATCAATCTAAAATGCACAAACTCCGTGGTTTGAACTATGCTAAATAAATTGCAAGTCAATCTAAATGTGTTGGCTTGACTTTCATTGGCTTCATCCTCATTGGAAATTCATCAAGAAAACAATTAATTAGAAGGAATTCTTACTTATCTAATGGAATCAAACTTGCTTCCACAAAAACTAATCCACTCCTAAGTTATTTCGATATGATTTACTGCTGTTACAGAATTATGGATGTAACTTTCTTGACACAACACCATCACATGATTCACATTCACATCATACAAGAAACAGAATTAATAAACTGAAGAAAAATGCTGTTACAGGTGATCTGAACTCAAAAAAGTAGACCATGACCCACCTAAGCTACAAATCCAATTACATAAATCAGGTAATGACGAAGGAACTCCTTAAAGGAGGAAATGGCAGATAGTTTCCTTCAAATGCAGAGAAGATTGATTCAGAAAGTCCCTAATAAATATCAGATGAAGTTTCAAATGCTGTTGAACTTTAGAAAAAAAAAATACGAAAGATTAGCATTAGATTTTCTTCACAAAGAAATGACATCTGAAACAAAATGATAGATATATTATATCCATACATAATGGAGATCCAAACTATGCAGCTAAAATCTTTTAGCAGAATGACCGTATCTCATCAACATAGTTAGAAAGGAGAAGGGGCATTGTTCATTTGAAGGATATCTTACATTTTCTCCACATTCTGAAATATGGGAGAAAAGGCAAGATATCTTTCAGGTGCAACATGGTGACAAAATGTAAGGAGACTTTCAGCTAGAAATGGTGAGAAGAAGAAACGAATGCTAGAAACAAGTACAGTACTTAAATAAGTACAATCATCGCATCTCAATTGTACTAGATATTGAATAATCTCACAATTAAAGTGTGTAATGTATATATGTATACATATATATATATACACAAATGGTTTCAGGACACATAAGTATCAAATCATTACAGAAAAAAACTATAGAGGCCAAGTGGTACAAAGAACGTAATACAAGGACTATATATTTTTTAACTCTCTATCATTAAGCACATAAGTTGAAATACTACTAACCAAAATCATTTAATTAGAGAAGATAAATCAAACTTTACAAAAATGAAGATGTCCCTACAAGTCTCTAATTGCAAAGAATTGAATGAAGCTCTAATAGATTCTACCAAGAACTAAATTGGAGAGGAAGAGGTGCTTAAACAAATCGGTATAGAGAAAAAGAAAAGGTTAGCAAGTCAATTAATGAATAGTTACATGAGCATGGCCCCCATTGCCCGATGGAATCTCCTTCTGAGAGATGATAGGTTAAAATGCCGTTTCCAACAGAACATGCATTCAACAATGATCTCTACACTAAATATCTCTACACCATCACTGTAGTTTGGGAAAGTAACATGCTTGAAAACCTTGCACTTTGAACATAGAACATATCCAACCTGCAATAATTGAATTGCCCAACTAGGCTTTTTAGTATAAAAACAAAAAATTAGAAGATGTTGGGCATCC